GTGACTGCATTCAAAGCATTACTACATTACAAAAAGTATTTTTACAGACTAAGTTTATATTAATATTTTGTCTTTGGTATTATGCTGTTGTTGCTATGGTGATCCTACACATCTCAGGTGTAACTAATTTAGTTTTTTGAGGAGTTTGGCTGTTAGATTCAAAACCTTAATCAGAGGTACACGGCACAGATCACCTTCAGCTGTTATGTAGATATGTTCATTTATATTGTACAGTGTAACAGTAATTTAAACATTACTCTGAAATTTTTGGTAAAATTTACTCAGACTGTTTTCTCCCCTGCTGACCATGATTGTGGGAATCCTCCCTGTTAGGGAAAAAAATATTAAATAATCGAAACTTGTGCCTCATTGTTGACATTTAAAACGGGACAGAGAAATTAAACATACTATGTCTATTTATTACGTATTACAAAAGAAACTAAAGCTCATTCTTTTGCTGACCTCAGAGTGAGTCAGATCATTTCAGCTTAGAGGTGTCCCCTGCTGATCGCTGTAATCTAACTAGTTTTACTGTGCTGACTGGTCTCTTCGCATCACGTTGTTTTCACTAACCAAAATAAACCACAGACCACACCTCTGCTCTTCAGTGAGTCAGTGAGAATGAATTCCTGGTGCCAGTTTATGTGAGCTGCTGTGAATGACAACTTACGTTTGTGATAAAGTCAAGGACACGTAGTACCGCTATAGTCCATGTGGGTCCATTATGTGTAGTCATGGAAAATGACATCAGGTACCTTAATTGATAATAAGGTACCTTACATAATAAGGTGAAGCTCTTTCCACAACCAACTTTGAGGAATTTTTTTTCTTACGTCAAAAACTAAAAATGATGTAAAAGCCCTAAAATTTTAACAGAAAGAAAAATGTTGAAACCTTAAGAGTGTCAAGTATTTTATCACATTGAATAAGTAATAATATAATAGATCTTTTATAGTAAATTGAAGCTGAAGTTTTGAACATGCAGAATCATGCAGAATCTTTTGGTATCAGAAGCTTTGTAGTTGTCCAATTGCTACAGAAGAGCAAAGAGGGAAGCCACTGTCTAATATGTAAAACTGTTCTATTGTTGCATTACGTTTTTCTGTTTGTTACATTTTCATGGGTTTTTTGTTGGGTTTTTTTCCTTGCTGACTCATTTTTCCTTCCTGTGTTTCAGGGTTGCAACCCATTCGCACAGACTGGACGAAGCAAACTGCAGAACACACGAGCCAGTCTTAACCAGCAGATCATCAAACAGATGAGGATGAGGGCTGGAGCTGAGAATCTGCTCAAGTAAGAACAAAGTGATACATGCATCCAACTTAATATATGGGTTTACTGTGTGCATGTGTGTGTGCTTGAAGTAGATATGTTGTTTTTTTTTAAGTAATAGTTGATTCATTCTAAAGTGGAAATATTTAAAGAGGAGAGCAAAGTCTATGATGGGTTTAAGAATCCAAGCACACATGTAGTTTTGCATATGTTACATCATTGTAGCTAGCCTTTGTCACTGCATTGCAGGGAACTGTTGCTGTTGATATGTCTGGCCTCACTTTTGTCTTTCTGTCATGAGCTGTTGTGAATTTATAGTGGTAAGAATTGAAATGACAGGGTAAATGGTGGTGAGAGATAACAATCTCACAGAGGATCATTCCTTGTAATCTGAAAACAAAGAGCTTCAGTGACATGTGATTAAGGAGGGTCTACTGAACTCTTTACTTTATGCTTTACTTTTATCCATTTTATTATAGTGATTATAAGACATCAAGAGAGCAAGATGTGAGAAATTAAGCCTAAAGCTTTCCCCAGCTGAGTTTACAACTCTGACACATGAATTATAAACTTTATAAGACGAGTTTTTATTAGAGGCTTTCTGTGCTGGGGTCTACCTGTTAGAGTATCCTGCTTGTCTTTATGGACTTTAAGGATAATGCAAATTTGTCAGCCAGGATGTTGTTTAGTGGTATGAATTAGAGATGGCACGATACCACTTTTTTATGTTCGATACCGATATCATAAATTTGGATATCTGCCGATATGAATCCGATATAGTGTGTTTTTTAATCAATAAAACTTTAAATATCTTGCTGCATTTTGTATAAGTTCATACTCAAGTTTAAATAAACAACAACACTAAAGCCATTCTGTTATACCTGTATGCAAAAAATACACTGCACCCAAAATATTTCATAGTTCAGCAAAACTGATCAATTTAATAAACTTAAACCTACTCAATCCTTCCTATTCTGGTATTTTAAAGAGTACTTAGCAGAAATCTTAAGCAACCTAACTAATAGGGTTGCAAACTCCCAGCAAAAAAAAAAAAAGGGAACCACCCCCCACCTCATGATGCTTAATCGACGTAATCAACTTTAATTTGATGCAGTGTGGAAAAAATGCACAGAAATAAATTATTTTTCAAGAATAATTAAATAGATTCAACATCTTCCTTCAACAGAACTGCAGACTGCACAGATGGTATCTTCCCAAAGGAAAAAGTACTATAGCTTACTAGGGTATATTAGACTTAACAGTTACTATATACAGTAATGGACTTCTATATATTTTACATAAGATTAAAACTTTGGGTGTAAGATTCAGATAATTATTTATTAAAAGCTAGACATTTTAAATGAGAATAAGAAAGAAAAGTATGTCTTTGTGCCCCCTTTTCCCTGTTCATGCCCTATCGGCCCCCCTGGCTAATCTTTGCTAGATCCGCCCCTGGACAGTTACCAGCCGTCAGCTGCATAGAAAAAGATCCTGGTGTAGAAAGTAATATTAAATAAATTCTAACAACAGCTTATCAAGCTTAAACGTGCTGCTGTTGTTTCCTCTTTCTGCCGCGAAGTGGGCGATAAACAAACAAGAGAGACGGAGTCACGACAGAAAAGCCGATCAGCTGATCATTAAGCAGTTTCACGATTGAAGTAGCAGCAGGAGTGAGAGAGAAGAGGCAGTCGCTCCAGGTATTGGTTGTTAAGCTTAACGTGGGAATGATTTACAAACATTCAGAGATGAACTTACACACTTGCTTTATAACTTTCTCGGAGATGAAACGCTGGTTTGGTAGCTAGGCTTCAAATACACACAGCCGCTCTATCATGTGACCACACTGCTCCGATGTGCTACGGTTATGAGCCGAGTTACGCCGTCGCAAGTTTTGTGAGGTGCTTTTTTTATATTTAATGGATCGGATTACATTTTTTATTTCTCTCCGATATCCGATCCAGTAATTTACGTCAGTATCGGACCGATACCGATACGTAATATCGGATCAGTCCATCTCTAGTATGAATGTCAGAAAGCACCTTGTGATGAAAGGTTGCTTTTCTCTAGAAGAGTGAATCATTGTCTTTCATCACTGTGCTCGTGACTGTGATGGCACACGATAAGAAATCTCTTTCCTTTTGTCTGATAATACTGCTGTACATGGATACCACAGTTATTGCATGGTCTTTAGGCCTGTCTAAGCCTGCCGTCAGCTTCTGAAGTCTGCACATTCCTTTAGTACTTGACATATTCTGACCAGGCAAGGTCAGAGGAAAATGTGTGTGTCTGTATGTGTGTCTCCCTCTGCCAACCCACCTGCAGCCCAGAGAACAGCATGGATTTACTTCTGAGTTATAGGTATTCTCTCTGCTCTATTTTTTAAAAGATCTTAAATCATATGCAATCTAACCCAAGGTCTACTTCTGCTCTTCCATCTCAGTGTGTGAGAGTGTGCATATCCTGGCAATCTTATCCCACTAGGACACCCATTATGTGCTCTGCCTCCTTTCTTTTCTTCTGCTTTGCTCTGCATTCCTCCCTTTCAGCGAAAGTCAGTCTGGTCAGACTGGTTTTCTTCTATTCTTGTCTCTCTTCTCTTCTCAAAATTAAAACAGCAGAGACCAAGACAAGATTAAAAAAAATAATTAAAAAAATCTAAATTTCCAATATTGGAACTTTACAGACCATCCTGCCTGGTCAGAACTGAATGAAGCAACTGTAAACTAGCAGGATGAAGGTATATTAACCTGCTATACAGGCCGCTTGGAACAAGGGGTTTAAGGTTATTTATTTTTTTTATTTGAAAGTGTTTTCACATTTGCTTTATAGTTGCAGATGGCAATCATGGCAGCCCTTATTGTACTAAAATGAAAATGTATATGTAAAATTGGTGGAGTCGCCCTAAAGCTTTTAGTTATAAAACTCCACCAGCTAGCTGCCCCTAAGGTTAAAATACAGCACACTGCCAATCTGCCAAAAGCTTTTCCAAAGAAGTGGATAGAGACAACCACAGATGCTGGCATACAGTTGGATTCCCACACACTGCAGGATGATATTAGATATTTAAATGACATATTAATAATAGCCTCTGGGCTAGCAGACATCTGTTCTGTCCAAACCATAGGATCTCTTCCTCCACTACCATGATCTGTTCCCCAGACCAAACTCCTCAGAAGCCCTTCAGCAGGCCAACAGGAAGTGATGCAGGCTGTGGTAGAGTATAAAGTGTGGATTTTTACAATGTGCCTGAACAAAATCCAGACTGCTGGATATTATTAGCTTCATGTCATACAAAGGGAATCCACTGAACCTGACTGTGGTTAATTGTGGTGGGTGGTTATTTTGTACCTGCTCTTTTACCCTTAGGTTAACCAGGTTTTCCCCCCTTCAACCCCTTCCTTGTATGACTTCATTACATGTAACCTTTCATGTCTAAAAAATGCAATCCTCTGTAATTACAGGGTATAAGGAGATCAGGTGACAGATATGAGTCTCGAGACTGACAGGTTTTAGGTGGCGATGGGTATGTGTGAGTGTCCCATTAATTATGACTGACAGGAAACGCGTTAGGATTCACTGTAAAATGTAGATAAACATTGTGTGTGTGTGTGTTTTTGTGTTATCTTGTGTCTCCATGAATGCACGTTAATTGCAGGTTGTTTTCACGTACTGACAACGTAACATAAATTCTACATAACAAAGGTTCCATCCACTCTGTGCATGCATGTTAGCATTCACAGACATGCAGAGGTATTGGTGCAGGGTTATCTCTGCTATGCAGCAAATGCTCACACCTTATCCATTTGTTTGTTCTAGACATCCTGCATGCACACATGTATACAAAGCTGTATGCAAATGGCACATTTAGTGCACGGTTCCTTCTAACTTAAAAAAATGCGAACTACATTTTAAACATTTAAATGTGTGCAAGTAATGATAATTGTTGCAGAAGCAGATGGTCACATGGAAGTTAATGACTAGTGGGATTTCTAGGCGTATTTCATTCAGAATGGTTAGGCTTTAAAAGCAGGAAAATCTGAGACTAACATTTACACACACGTGTCCTTGACCAGATCCTAGGTGACCTCTGTGCAGTCCTATTACAGTAGTGACATGTACATAGTCTGAGACATCTGTCAAGCATGCGTGCCGAAGAGTAGAGCAAGTGTACAGTGGGCCGCAGTGACGCAGATCTGTGGTCCAGAATACCAGAAGAGACACGCTTGTTTTAATAATCAGCTGCAGTGAGGTTTGGCTGAGCCAGAATGGATAATAACAAGGCTGATCTGTTCTTTTTTTTTTCCTTCTCCATTTTTCCCCTTCAATCTTTCTCTCTCTACAATCACCTGTTTGCAGGGCTACATCCAATAGCAAGGTGAAAGAAATGGTTCTCTTGGAGTTGAGCTACGTTAACTCAAACCTTCAGCTTCTGATGAGCGAGTTGGAAGGTCTCAACAGCTCTGTGGAGGTTTACCAAAACAACCAGTAAGTACAAATGTTTCTCCTCTCTTTTCTACTGCTCCAGTTCAAAATGTAAAAAGGGTTTTAGAATGAAGGAATCGTGAACTTATGACCTTATAACTCTTATGACCTCACATTTGCAACTAGTTTTGTGGCCGAGATTGTTCACCACATAGAATTCTGTTGTGTAGGTTCCACCAGTATAAAATAGATGGTAGTATTCTTGTGAGTAGCAATTCAGCTGCTGGCAATAGGCTATAATTGCTTACAATTTCCAGAATAATTGTAGTTTTACATTAAGTGCATGTAAGGAGGCTGTCAAATAGATATCATGCTAAAATGTCCACACATCTCCAGGAGCTCAACGCAAAGGATTTTGGTCCCAGTTTTCTTGTGGCGAGGTGACCACTGATCCAAACTCACAAAGAAAAATTATGAATTACTATTAAAATAGAGATGTAAGACAACAGACAAACATTCACAACCTACAAGAGACAGATGGCTCTGGCACGCTTTCAAACGAAAGCCTCTTGATGACAGAGGAGGAAAAGGTGGGGGTGGAAGTTTAAGAAGGAACCGCAAAGACAAAGTGCAAGACAGTGGTGTTGTTGTTAAACTGGAATATCAGGTTTTGCACAATGCACAGAGCAACAAGGAAACACTGAGTTGAATCTGTATGCAAGCCAAGATGATCGTCTGGCAAAAAAGCATTCTCTCACTCAGCGTGACGGTCAGGTGTGGGTTGTATGGGTGTGTGACAGTGAAAGATTCTAGTATTTCCTTTCCAAATACACCTGCCAGATTTATAAGGTTTGGAAGAAGTTGATGCATGTTCTCATTCTCTCACTCACGTGTAAATGAAACTTTGGCAAGACACAAGGGGTTGATGAGGAAGTGGTGACAGATTTTTATTTGAAGATGCATCTGTTTGTGCTGCAAATAGGACACTTCCTCGTGGCTACGAAGTAACCAAACAAGTTTAAGCCGGTTGTGGGTAAAGAATATTAATTGGGTGACTGAAAGTAATCATGGGGTAGGTTTTATTCCAGAAAGAAATGAAACAACTGTGGAGTTTTCCATTTTGAAAATATGAAGTGTAATCATTATTAAAAAAACAAAAATGCATAACTGATTTAATTTTGACTGATGAGTTTGTTCCATCGGAAGCTTCGGTGTCATTGTCGGGAGGTAAATTCATGGTACACAACTCTGTGTGTAAAAACAACAACCCCCCAAACAAACAAAGCAACAACAAAAAAAAAACATAACAAAAAAATAAAAATTAAATAAGAAAAAAATGCACACCCAGTAGAGGTAGAGCAGTCTATGCTACATATGATTTGTTATTAGGGTTAGCTCTATGTCCTCCCATCCTTGCCCAACAAAATACTGAGCAAATGAACAAGGTTGTTGAGGTGACAAGGTGTAATGCTTCTAATATCCAACTGTTTATTTCCTATTCTAAAAACTGTTGTAACGATTCGTTGAGCTAAAGACCTAGTTAGGGCAGTGTTGTAATTTCTGACATAAATCTGCAGATGACCTTATAAAACCTAAAATGCCAACTCATATTGGCTCCACAGTAAGCCCAGATTAGTTTGTTTGGTCTGCAGAGTCTCAGTGCTGTAAGCACCAGGAGCCTTCAACCTGGTTGTAATAAATTTGGTTTCCTGTCTGCAGGGTACCAGGCAGGGAGGACAATGAACTTTGCTCTTAGGAATCTAAGGAGGCAAATATTGAGTGCATTATGTGTTTTACACGGGTGTTGCTTGTGGTAGTTTGTATCTTGCTTAAGTGCAAAAAAACCCTTCTCTTTGTGGACATCAAGAAAACCTCATGCATCAGCCACTAAGATTATTTAGATCCTCCAAATTCACCAGCTGCCTCTCAGTATAATTGTTAGTCCTAGCATGATCAGTCTCATGGGATCAGGTTCATTAGTGCTGGAACAAACAGCCTCTCTTCAGTCTCCTTATCAGACTATTAGAGAAGCACCTGCTCACGGCACACACAATAGGAAACCATTGTCATTGTCATGTCATTGTCATTGTGGGTCTGCTTAAAATAAAACCCATTTAGGTCCATAGTGTTCTCATCGTCAACAAGCGCCTTATGCACAGGTGTGTGGGAAGCCTAAACTGGAGAATATTAGATATGTTGAGAAAGTCCTTTCGTGTCATTGCCTAGCAGGTGTCTCATAGGGATGACGCTGTACAGCCACAATGGAGAGTTAGCCTCCTCCTCTCAGCCTGAAATACAACCTCACTCTTAAGTACAGAAACACAACACCTGTCTCCAACAGTCTTTCCCACTAGTCTACTGTCCTTTGTATAGTGTCTTCTGTGGTTATTTCTTAGATTCAGCTCCTTTGTGGCATGCATAACACAAAGTGCCATACAGTCTGTGGCCTGATGGCAGTACATGTAATGTACATTTGTTTGTTCTGCTCTCTCTGAATTGCCCTCTTGAGAAAAAAAAACCTGGCTCATCACTGATAGATTATGAAGTAAAAAAGAAATGGACTCACTAGCACTGCTCATTATTTCAATGTATGAGTGTAAATGATTCGTCACACTACCAAAGTGTTGCTGATTTGTCCAGTTTGTCCTTTGTGCAAAGTTAATGAACTTTCCTAGAACATTTCTGAATCAGCAGAATTAAAATGATTACTAATGAAAACAGTAAGATAATATGTCAGCATTGCAGGCCACCGTATTCATTTTTGCTGCATAAGAGAGAATAATTTGCTCTTGTCTATTGTCCTGAATACACAAAGATATCAGCTGTGACCTCTGACACCAATTGTGAGTTTTAGAACTTCAGATAAATTTAGTTAATATTAATGACATCATTTTATGAAGTTAACACTTCGGAACACATAAAATCACATGTTTTTAGTTTTATAACATTATTTTAATATACATTTTCATCTGTCCTTCCTAAAGGGAAGATTAGTATTCATTAACATCATCCGGTTGCTAACAACATATCCAAACTGAGTGCACACTGACTTCTTAGCCTCACTGACATGTTCTAGTTAAACGGGTTAAGAGGTCTTCTTAGTCGGTGTATACTAAGAAGTCAGAACAGATTGCAACAGCCTGAAACCTTTTGCTTTAAAGGGTTTAAGAAGTGTTTGGCTCTGTGTAGCTAAACCCACAGCTTCCCTTGACTACTAGTTGTCTGTTTCCCGCGTGTGTGTGAGGAGGAGCGAGTCTCTGAGAGGCTTGTAACATTTTCCCTCCAGATTCCCTGTGAAACAGATACACTCAACCCCCATGGACCCATCTCTGCCAAGCCAGAGAAAAGTCCAGAGTGATCTCATCTACAAGGACTAATGGATTACACTGCAGCCTCTCTCTCTCTCTGCCAGTGTTACTGATGAATGAGGTTTTCCTCTGGCACGTCAGCATGCCAGAGGAATGCTGTCTTATCACTGAGTGTTGAACATCTCGTGTAAAACAGTATTTTGCAATAACAATGCACAGTAGTTCACCTCCACTCCTTTTGATGTGAATTTACAGAAAATCATGTCTCTTATGAGGTCTGAGATCGTTAATTAATCCTTTTAAACATAAGTGGTTTTGAGCCTGAAGTTTGTTTCAAGAAATTCCAGAAGTGGGTGGGTTTTTTAAATACATTTTTTAATAACAGCTCATTATTTTGCTTTGAGGAAAAGAGAGAGTTTAGTTTTTTTTTAATGACGCCTCTGTGATTAGCAGCAGGTTTCTGTCAGGTTATAGTCTCTCAGCTCTGATAACAAGCTGCACTTGCTTTCCATCTGTCACTAACAAGGACCCCCATAAAACCAGAAAATTTCCAAACCATTAAGGTTGTAGCTGAGATCAAAACAGTGTGTTTTATGAGTGTTTTATGGCAGCTTCTGTTTACTATTTGCCAGGCTGCAATAA